GGAGGGGAGGGGAGGGGGAGCAGGAGGTATCGTGTTTTACATACAGTGGGGAGTCCAATATTGGGGGTAATTATAATAATAATAAATAGCATTTGTATAGCGCATGTCCCTACTCGAAAGCAATCTCTATGCGCTTTACACTACACTATTATTACCCCAGCAGACCATAGAACACTCCGAAACATTCTCAGCTTCCCGGGAAGCATACAGTGCAAGCAGCTGGTTCAGCTTGGTATCGTATTCTATCAACTGTAGGGAGTCGAATATTGGAGGTATCGTGTTTTATACATTGGTAGAAGAGGGGGTGCAGGTATCGTGTTCTATGTACAGTGGGAAGTCAAATATTGGGATATCGAGTTCTATCGTCTGCGGGGTGTCGAATATTGAAGGTATGGTGCTGTATTTTCTGTGGGAAGTCGAATACTAGAGGTATCGTGTTTTATCTACTATGAGGAGTCGAATATTGGAGGTATAATGTTTTCGATGACGTCAGTGTTGCTTGGGGGAAGTTTCCGAACAGACTTTTGTGTGTTTTACGGCACTTGCAACACAATAAGGTCATATAAATAGCGAAGATTAGAGGTGTTACAAGAGAGTAACAAACACAAAAAAGGAGAGAAGATAAGGACGATATATTTTTATAGGAAAGAAGGAGCAAACCACACCAGAGCACCCGCCAACCACCCACACAGACGTTTGTGCGTGCAGATCTCCCCACGGAATGTCGCTACGCTTTGTATCACTTCCACGGGCGACATTTTGTTTGGTATCCGACAAACTTGTTTGATTACGACCCCCCCCCCCCTCCATCAACCCCAACCTGTAGTGTTGGAAGTATCAACGGATACCTGTAATAGTCACGTGTGTTTGGAAGTATCAACGGATACCTGTACTATAGTGCAGTCAAAAATTCGTGGTGCGACCTATTGTCAAATATCTCCTCAACTATCCAACATAGCTTCTCCAATGTTTGTGCAGTGACTTGTATATATTTGTCTTAACAGATCAACATTTTTGTAAACACCTGCAAGCTGTATTCTAGAGAATTCCGTAATAAATACTAATAAAAAATCCAAGCGCGTGGTTTCTACAGATTTTAAAATGTTTACAGCTGGGGCAATATAGCTTTTAATAGCAAGTCCGTCAGGCTTTTCTAATCGGGACATAATGCTTATTGAACGCATTTTTCAGAGCCGTTAGTGCAAAAATGTGTTCACTATAACAATAATTTCTTGTAACAAGTTTCGCAAGTAAAAATTGTCATTGGTGAGTTGTGACGTAGGCCATATGTGTAATCAAAATGTGTGTGAGAAGCGGGAAGTGCTGGGAACAATACCATGTAAGGCACCGCGTCCACTGCGCTTTTTCGTCACTTGCAGGCCAAGCTCACATGCAAATGAGCTTGTTTTTGTCAGTCACTGACTGCCTTTGCCTGACTACGCGATTTTCCTGCATGCACGCTGTTTCGTCAGTCGTGTAGGGGACTAAGAAAGCCTCGATTCGACTCATTTTGGAAGGAAATTCGCATCTTTAAGTACATTTTTGCTTCTTCCTTGTACTTTACATGATCAATAAAGTTGTATCTCATTATAATATATTGTACAATAGCAAATCTGAGCTATAAAACAAAACAAAAAAATTAAATTAAAGCACTTGACCTAGATCTAGATCTTTATTTCGTTCTCGGGAGAGCTAAAAATAGGCCATGTTAGGCCTAGCCAAGACGGACCTAGCTAGGGACGTGTCTAGATCTAGATAGATCTACGTTCTCTAATGTTTAGAGCTTCCAATTTTCCGCCAATTTTTAGTTTTCTCAGGACATTATCTGCCGGTCCACTAGATCTGGGCCTAGATTCTAGATCTACATCTCGATATATTATGTCGCGATGCCTTTCCTGAAACAGTGCTGTATATGAAGCTTAATTTACCCTTCGTTGATGAAAGTTCTGATGGCCGAGTGAACAGCGTGTCCGCGTTTGGAGGCAGACATTATTTTGTGAGCGTGGGTTCGAATCCCAGTCCCAGCTTTTTTTGTTTTTTGTTTTTTCCTTCTCATCGTCCCATCTTACCAACAATGTTTCCCATAATTATAATTTGTTGCTTTTTAGTTTTTTAAAGTGGTAAATAAATAAATCCCCTGTGCTGTCTGTTGTTCTCGTAATCATAACGCACTAGGCTAAAAATAGGTATAGCTGGTCTGACGCCGGTGGACGCGGATCTTTTTGAGTCGCTTCTACACCATGAAAAACGTCGTACATTAGTCTGGCCTGGAAATGACCTTATTTTGGTGGACGCCTAGACTTACGAGTGACAGGAGATTTCAAGCATTGTATACACATTTTGGAAGAAAAGTTTTAAAATCTAGCCCCAATTCTTCTGGGAAAATATGATTTAGTTAAGACAAATTGATACAAACTGCTGTGCAAAGTATGGGTGACATTGATTTACCAGTTAAAGAGATATGTGAGGATAAGTTGCGGAACAAATTTTTGACCGCACTATAATCATGTGTGCGTGCAGGGATCAGCACCCAATCAGCGTGCCGCCATCAGATAGTCGTCAGGCCCCCACAGAAAGCTATCACTGTATCAGACGACACGGTAGCCTGATGGCGCTAATACAA